ATTAATGTCAGAATTAATAGACTTTAACAATAATTTAAATATTGAATTAAACTATTTTTGCACTATATAATGTAAAATAAATGTGTACAAACGAATTAGTGAAGTGTTAGTGGATATAAAAGTGAAAAATATAAGTGTATAATTAATTTAAAATCGAAAAAATGCGTACTTTAAATAGTTGAATTTTCAACTTTAAACGTAAATATTATATCTCGAAAACTACAAGTTTCCCGAGGCTATATCTATATATATTCTTGATCTAGAGGATCTCCTCTATCCGCTCATATCTATTTTATCCCCGAAAGTCTGGGACGGTTACTAAAGTTTTCCCAGAATATTATGCCAAGCATTTCACTACGGCTAGAAAGTGAAGGTAAATTAATAAGTTTTAAACGACTAATGTATGGAGGCAGAGTTACCTAGAAACCCATCGGAAATGCGCTAAGGCGAAAAATAAAAATTGTTTTTAACAGACTCCAACTTGTCAGAAAGGATTTAGTAGCTAGGGTTCCATACAACAGACCCATCATCCCGCTCCAATCCTTGTGCGCAAATCACTCAGCAACTCCTGATTCTTCGCACAGTCTCTTCCGTGTGTCAGACCGTCATACGTCGGAACGTCACATCAGTCAAGTGCAATTCTGGTACTGGCTGGTGTCATTTTCCGTCGTGTTGAGGCCTGCGTACCACACGTGTGTGAAGCGCGTCGTATGTTGCCCCGTGCTGTAGGAGTCTGCCCCCGCAATCCCATGTACTGGCGACCAAACAAAACCACAGTGCGACAACCGCCCCTGCGGATATTACAACTGCAACAACCACCACCAACACGTATCACCCTCACCCCCAGGATCACCACAAGACACCCGAGACAAACCCGACTCTTACAATTCAACTGCAATGGACTCCAGAGCCAGATTGAAAAGATAGCTGCATTATGAGACGGGAACGCGTATCGATAGCTGCGGTTCAAGAAACCAAGCAAATTGCCGCTCAACGTTGCAGGTTTCAACATTTTACGTAAGGCTCGCGAGCGAGATAATGGTGAAGACCTATCATTCATACTGCAAAACACCGTGCAATATCGTCTAATCGATGGTGACCGCAGGGATATTACCCTAGAATGTCAGGGTATAGTTATCCGGTCAGGCGATGTCGAACTCGAGATATTCAATATATACAATACATCCCCCTCCATTTACATGTTGCCCAACAGGATATCACCAGAACATAGGTGTGCTACTTCTTGGTGAAAACCGTTTGGTGCTAGGGGACTTTACACTACCTATTCCTACGTACGTCATCGTTGTAGCGTAAATTCCGCAAGGTGATTGGCCTTGTCTAATACGAGGAAACATGACGAACGAGTTGAAATTCAATTCGATGACCATGCCTCCTCGGACCGGAAGAAGTGCGCGAGCTATTTCAGCCGGCAATTCACACTGCAAGATCAAACGATGTTTTACCTGACGGCTGCGAAAAATGCCAAAAGACTGCGCGCCATTTACTTTCACCGATGGGGAAGTTCAGAGTGTCATAAACAAGGCAAAATCGTCCAAATCCATTGGACCTGGTGGAATAAACAAACTGTTGCTTGAACACATAGGCTCGATTCGAAAAAGCTATCTCACCAAGGTTCTCAACCTGTCGCTGACCACTCCTCAAATACCCAATAACACTCCTTTCCCCTTCTCCCGACATTCACTCACCTCCGTAGTCTAGCAGACCTCCAGCATGGCTTCCGAAAGGTGCACAGCACCACCACAGCACTTAGAGTCTCAAATGCCCTGATAGTTTGTGCCATAAGCCAACACACACACTTGAAAGCTAATTTTAAAAGTTAAATAGAGAACTTTCTACATTAACATGGCCTAATTATAATGGTGATATTGAAATGAGTGTCTTGCATTTTAATAACATTATTACGAAATTATTTGAAAAGTATGTTCCAATATTAATTGTGAATAAAAGTAAAAATATAAGTCCGTGGTTTTCGAAAGAGCTATATGAATTAAAAAACAAAAAAAATCAACCCTTTAAACATTTAAAAAAATACCGGTTTACTTGTCGACTATTCTAAATATTCTGTATTGCGTCGCCAATATTTTGACCTAAACAAAAAATGTTATAATAATTACTTAAATAAAGTAAAAAAGAATATTGTAATTAATCGAAATCGTTTTATGATTTCGTCAACTCCAAACGCAGGGTTTCAAATTGCCGTCCGCGATGAAATACAAATCTATTACTTCAAGTTACAATGATATTATATCTACTATGTTTACAGAATTTTTCAAGTCAAACTACTGTAATAATTCTTCTAAAACTTTTCCCTATCAGCACGTGCCGTGTCCGAATACTTTAATTAACGCTCCAACTATTTCTGAAGAAAACGTCCTACTTAATTTAAATAAGTTAAAACCATTTTTTAGTGTTTGGCCTAGATTCCCTCATGCTTCCTAAAAAATAGTGCCAAATATATTTACTTGCCTTTGACCAGGATATTAAATTCTTCTCTTAAACACGGTATATTTCAATATGGAAACAGTCTTTTATAATTCCTTTGCATAAAAGTGGACTTAGGTCCAACATTGAAAACTATAGAGGTATCGTAAAACTATCAGTTATACCTAAACTTTTGAAGCTATCATCACTGACCATATAACCTTTTCGATTTCTCCGTTAATTTTCCCATCTCAGTATAGATTTCGTAAAGGAAAATCGACTCTAATAAAGTTGAATTTGTAAACCATGTATCATTGGGTTTTAGCGAACATAAGCATACGAATGTTATATACACAGACTTTAGCAAAGCTTTCGATAACGAAACCTTTCGATTTTTATGCATAAACTTGATCTGCTGGGCTTTCAGCCAAGATTTCTTAAATAGTAAATAAAAGCTTCTTATCTTTATAATAGAATACAACGAGTGATATTTGAGGATACTCCTTTAGATACAATTAATGTCTCTTCAGGTGTTCCGCAAGGTAGTCATCTTGGCCCGATTCTGTTCTTGTTGTTATTAACGATATCTCTTCAGTAATAGAATTCTCAAAAATTTTAGGAAAGGTGCCTGTTGCAAGCCTAGTCGTAAATTTTACGTCTAAAATCCTGTAGATCTAATTTCGAACTAAACGAACCATTCCGCCGTATATGCCATGATTTTAATTCTCATTTCTTTTCTGACTCGGCTAATTTCGTACGTATGCGGATTGCGCCCCTCACATCGGTTGGGCGGGAGGAGCTCGGCTTATTATATTATATAATACTAAATATATATCCAGCATGCAATTAGTCACCCCATGATACGAACCACCTCTTGCATGTCCTACGGATCCCAGTCATCTAACACCCTTCTCCCTATGGTCCGTCCCCGTCGAAACAGCTCGTTTCCTGGGCCTCCCGTGAGATGACTTCGACGACAACCAAACTGAAACTTACCACCCAAGCGGCGATTAGATAACCGTTACAACAACCACAGGAAAGAGTTTTAGAATTATTACAGTAGTTTGACTTGAAAAATTCTGCAAACATATTGGATATGTGATTTTTATGTGACATGATTTGTATTTCATCTCGGACGGATATTTGGAAATCTTCCGTTTGGAGTTAACGCAATCATAAAACAATTTTAGATTACGTATAATATTCTTTTTACCTTATATAAGTAAATTTTATAACATTTTTGGTTTAGGTCTAAATACAGAATATTTAGAATAGTCGACAAGAGACAAGTTTTCGTACGTAGTATAATATTGTTAACATAGGTATGTCGGTTATAGGTATAAATTAAGTAATACCTGAAAATATGTATCTTTAATTCATGAAGTTATAGTTTCTTTCGATTCCAATTTTCAAAAAAATATCCCCAGATCAACAAATTAAGTGAAATTTTAATTTAATTCAAGGCGGAGATGTTAAAATTTAATTATACATATATTTTATTTACACAAAAAAAGGAAATTTAAAAAAATTAAATGTTAATGTTTTGAGTCATATGTATGTACTTGTATGTATTCATACTAGTTTCAACGTAAATTATTTGAATCTGAAAATTGTATTTGTTTTGATAGCGTAATTAGGAATATAATAATAATAATAGTTAAAAGTATTCACTTACCGCAATACAGTTCGTAATTTTTGGTGAATACGATTGGTCGTTGGTAAGGTTTAAGCCTATGTTATTGTGACTGCGTGGAGTATCATAAAATTTTGGATCAAGATTATTTAATGGAGTAATTGGATTTTCAAGCTGAAAAAAAAGGAACGTTAATTTATTCTTTAATATATTTAAATAAAAAATTTTAGATTAGAACTAAACAGCGATCAATAAATATTTAAAAACAAACCGTTATTTCGCTATTATTTCAATGTTTATGAAAAAATAGTATTTCATTAGTTTTATATCTAATAGGTAATTTCAGGTGCAGCCGAAAGTTGCAGTCTCGTATTAAAAAAAAAAAACAAAAGACGTGAGAAAATGTTCAAGTGTCTGAAAAACGTTATATTAGATAAGTGTAATCAAACATTAGTTATTAGCTGAAACCGCAAATACAAAATAATAAAAATCATATCAGTAGGATAGGAACCAAATATTACATGCTGTAAAGAAGTACGGAAGGAAAACCACTTGCAAGAATCAAAGCCCGGGAAATTTCTTCAGGTGTCGGTAAAACCTTATATTAAACAAGTAAGGAAGGGCTAAGTTCGGATGTAACCGAACATTTTATACTTTCACAAAGTCAAATGGTATACTCGTTTGAGATTTCTTTATATGTTTTAATAATTTTAAGTAGGAACAGTTGCCTCAGTTATTTACAGCCATAGTGAAATTAATTACAACTATTTGTAAACTAAATTGAGGAGTATGAAAAGAAATCCTTTTTTGACAATGAATAAAATTTTTTATTTATTATATCGAGATTATTATACATATTTAGCTTAAGAACAATAAATATTAACAACTTTAAAAATTATATTAATTTGTATATAATATTCTTATACATATATCCAAATTATATTTCTTTGCTCCTTATACTATTTAATTTCTATCATACATTTATACAATGTTTTATATATTAACAAATTATACATATAATTTAAATTTTCTTAATTTTCTTAATTAACTTATTTACATATTTTTCTTATTGTCTTAAAAACTACTGACAAAATTGCTATACCATTCTTATTCGATTATATTTAAAAACAAGTAAGGAAGGGCTAAGTTCGGATGTAACCGAACATTTTATACTCTCGCAAAGTCAAATAGTATACTCGTTTGAGATTTCTTTGTGGATTGACTGATATTTTCGGTAGAAGGACAACTATAGGCACTGGGGTCTACATATTTAGTACTTAGGGGCTTAAACAGTTTTGTTTCGATTTAGACAATTTTTGGCCACAAGGTGTCATACTTTAATCGCATTATTCACGCAAAGTTTTATCCCGATACAGTCATTGTTGCTTGATATGCATAGTGGAAAGTGAAAGAATCAGATGGAATTTAAAATGGTGCTATATGGGAAGTAGGCGTGGTTGTAGTCCGATTTCGCCCATTTCGCACTATGACATAGAAACATGAGAAGAACGTTATGCACCGAATTTGGTTGAAATCGGTTAAGCAGATCTCAAGATTTGGGTTTTCACCTAAAAGTGGGCTGTGCCACGCCCACTGTCTAATTTTGAACGCGGTTCCTATAAAGTCATCTCATACCATCCCAGAGATAAAATTTAATGTCTCTGGCGTGTTTAGTGCTTGATTTATCGCGCTTTTAGTAGTTTTTAACAGTACCGTTATATGGGGAGTGGGCGGAGTTGCCACCCGATTTCAACTATTTTCACATTGTAGGTAGAGGTTCTAAAAACATTTGCTTCCAGTGAATTTTGTTATTATAGCATTAGCGGTTTAGGAGATATGCACATTAAACCTATTAGAGGCGGCACCATGCCCACTTAAAAAAAAAAATTTAACTGCAGATGCCCCTCCCTAATGTGATCTCGTGTACCAAATAACAGTCTTGTATCTTATTGCGGAGCTTAGTTATGGCAATTTATTTGTTTTTGATTAATGGCGTTTTGTGGGCGTGGCAGTGGTCCGATTACGCCCATCTGCAATACTAACCGTCTCACGGTACCAAGAAACATGTCTACCAAGTTTCATAGAGATATCTCAATTTTTACTCAAGTTAGGGCTTGCACGGACGGACAGACAGTCACCCGGATTTCAACTCGTCTCTTCATCCTGATCATTTATATATAACCCTATATCTAACTCGATTAGTTTTAGGTGATACAAACAACCGTTAGGTGAACAAAACTATTATACTCTATAGCAACAGGTTGCGAGAGTATAAAAATTAAGAGCTATTGTAGTAAGTCTGAAAACTTTAGTTTGAAATAGAAACATAAATACTGTCATGATAGCTGTGTACTGTCCTCAAAAGTAATTGCATTAACATGGGAAGGATCCATGTTTGAAAATGTCCAATCAATTTGTGTACCGGCAGGTGTAGTTGAATATTCTACACCAATCAGGGAACTAAAGTTTTTTCTTAGAGCAGATTTCCTATTGTAGTCCCTGTAGATATTAAACAAATGTTTAAATTTCCAACAATTAGCACATATTGATTGCATAACTCAGAAGTAAGGACTTCCTGAAGTTCTGATGTTCGGGAAATCAAAAAATTTAAACTTGTTGTCAGAGCTTTATTTGTGTTCAATTCACTCAGTTCCATAAATACTGGATCCGATTCAGAAAATTTGTTAGGAGGAATTAAATTTCCTATGATGAATAGATCTTCTGCAGTGGTAGCTCGACTACAAGCGACATGTATTGAAGAACTAGGCATTCTGGGTCGAGTATGAACTACAACTTTATTATATGTGGCACCCTGACTTTTATGAATAGTTATTCTCTCAGCCGGAACAACTGGAAACTGATTTCTTTCAATTGAAATTTGTTCATTTCTTTTATATAGAAAAGATTTTAGAACTTTTTCAATTGGGTGTCCAAGAACTTCCTAGAGGATGAGGCTTTTTTGATCGTGCTATCAAACCAACAGAAGGTATCAAAAATTTAATCCACAGAATTGTTGGAAAAGAGCCCAATTAACCAAGCCATCACACGTGTATATATTCACCGTAATCATATATTTGACGGAGCTTTTTAGTGTCAAGGGCATAGGGCAGTCCCTGCGTTTCAGAAGTCTTGAAAAGTTTAACTCTTTGACAAAATATTATCATTTTCATTTATAGCAATTCCCAACCACACCTTAACTGAGTCTTTTGCAGTTGAAAGGATAGCTTCAATTGGGATTCGACTGAGCTTAAGGGCATTGAAATTATTTGTCTGTTCAATAGACCAAAATAAATGTATGGCACCATCGGGAACTTCCTCGAAATTAACTACTCGAGTTTCAATGAGTGATATATCCTCATTTGTCATAGTACGAGATGTCATACGGTTTAATGCAATTGCAAAGGCCTGATCCTCCCGTTTTCTTATTATATCTGTTAATTTAAAGTATTTAAGTAACTCCCACAAAGGGGAACCACCTAAAGTTGGTAGATATGCATCATTGGAATTAGGAGAGAATATTCACCTATCTAACAGGTGAGAGTTCATATCACCAAACACTATGACCGGTATACCACCGAAAGGGCTGTCTGTTTTGAAAATTTGTTTTAATCTCGCATCAACAGAGCTAAACAAACTTGCACCTATCATCGATACTTCATCATGTATGACCAATTTTAAATCGATAAGTCCGGAATACAATAAATTACCTGTGTCATTGCTAAGTGGCCTCAACTCTCTATTCAACTGATTAACAGGTTAAGAGAATATTGAATGAAGGGTCATTCCACCTATTCCGAATGCAGCTTTAAACCTAGGTGTGCAAAGAAGAACTTTTAAGGAACTTGAATTTGATCCAGGTGTAGAATTGTAATGATGGTTAAGAGCTTGATATATTGCAGATATCAAACGACTCTTTCCTACCCCTGCACCGCCGCCAATGAACTCAAAAAATGGGCGATTTGTTTTTAGCTGGTGCATCAAATGTGTTAAATAGGTTCTTTGCTTAGTATTTAGACTTTGAACTAAAGAAAATAATTCCCCAACTGGAATTAAAGGGGGTAGTTTAATAAGTTTAATATTGCAATCAGGTTCAGTGCCATTATCTGTTGAATCTTCACCATGCAAGTCTAGCAAATTTATATTTGGGTTTATTTTTGGAACTGCCAACACATTTTCCACGATAGGGAGCACCTTCCTGGCCAAACCTTCTATACCGAATTATACAATTATACACGTCTTTAAGAAGCATGACAACCCCGCTTTCTGGTATATTATTGTCTTCCCTCTCTTTTTCTTCATGATCACTGTCTTGGGCTCTTCTACTAGATTTTAAATATTTATAACTAGATGAAAAATCAGCTAAACAAAGAGTTTCTTACTGATCGGATCTCTGAACATAACGGTCTAAAATAGCGGCTACGAATATTTCAGTCGAACCTGAAGGAAAGTTCTGAAGTTATGCTCTAGGTTTTACCATTCGAACACGTTCCTTAGGTCGAGAAGTATTTATAAATATTTCTGCATTATTTGCTTCCGAAAGATGGAGCCCATGCATCAATCTACTGCTTCTTGTGCTGCTATTTTTGTACCAGATATAAATTTGTGACCTATATGTCTAAATTTTTGCTTAACAGTATAATTATCAGCATTTACCTCTGATATAGCTTCATTTAAGAGCCTAGAAATTCCCCTGTTATACTTGTTAATATAGTTACTTATATTATAAATGAACAGCAAGCATATGCATCCAGTATATATTGGATATCCATATTTGCCCTATGGAGTTCCAAAATCAGAGAATTTTAAGCGTTTATAAAACTGTTGTCCTCTTATTTCCTCTAGTACAACACCAACTGTGGTTATGCTTTTGATAACCCAAATAATTTTCTAAGTGGCTGACCGAACCATCTGTAAAAATATAATTGTCAATTAAACTAATGATATCAGCGAATGTCTAAGGATCTTGAAGGTTGATCCTGGGAGCATTATTAAGCCAATACATGACATGTACATGCGGGGAACTTCTCTGTTGAAACTCCACTCTCCAGTAGAAATTTGTGACAAAATGCTTTCCAAAAATGCTGGTATTATCTTTAAAAGGCTTAAGAATTTGTCGATGGCGGTGGTCAAAATATCTAGCAGAAGTAGCCGCATCTGACCGAATTAAGCGATAT